GTGCATTCTGATGGAGTATTCACTGGGCAATTTGTCAACCTGAAGGTGACATATCTGAAGGGACACCTAACACGTGGTCCTTATCTGTGGGCTCTCCCATCCCACAGTGGGGTGAGGGGGTGGCCACACAACCAGGGACACCTTCCAGGCAGCAGAGAGACACCCGTGCTGCCCCCTTCTCCTGGCCTGGCCTGGGTCCTGTGCTGGGTGCTGGAGAGCCACTCAGGGGCAGGGGTGGAGCCGACTGCTGAGGCTCCCTGAGCCCACCCAAAGCGGGCGCAGAGGTGGACTCTACAGGACTGCTTGGCACACCTAGGACAGGTGAGTCATTTCTCATGTGATTACAGGTAACGCAGTGGTGCCACCTCCACCTCGGTGACAGGTTTCAGTGACGCGGATGTCACCTCACGTGTTTTCCAGAGGGTGAGGGCTTGCCCAAGCTGACCCCGCCTGCCTGGTTCGTGCATATTTGCTCATGAGCAGGCTCCCGTGACGGGACAGGGAGCTGGAGGGCTCGCCCCCGCCGCTGGGGCCAGGAAGAGAATAGCTCCACGGGGACCTGAGTGGCACTGAGGAAGGCCAGCCCCGGGTGCAGCTGGCCTCTGTCTCCAGTGCTGGTCGAAGCCAACGAGCCCTCATTTAGGAATAATTGTTCCCAAAGCTCTGTGGACAGCAGAGCCCAGGAAGCTGACAGACAGCACAGGCCCACAAGGACGAGGACGCCTTTCCTGCTCTGGCAGCACCCAGCCCCGCAGAGCACCTCCCTCCCGCTGAGTCAGTGCCCTCGTGGCCAGCACGGGCTCCCTGCAGGCCAGGCCGGCTCCTTAACTGGCCCAGCGTCTAGGTGCTGGCAGACCACCCTCGCCTGCCTCTGAGAGGCCCAGGCTGTGGCCTGGGGGTCTCCCTCTCCTGCCCCTCATCACTCTCAGGAGACAGAGTAGTGCCGCCTGTGCACACACGTGTGCGAGGGTATGGTCCAGCGGCCTCTCACTGTGCCCAGCTCCCTCCATCAGATCCTTTCAACAGGCCTTGGCTTGGCCGTTAGGTTTGCAAGGAGGAACTCCGCAGACAAACGGTCAGGTCCTCATGGTCACTTCAGAGACGCGGATGTGAATTTTCTGTTTTGTGTCTGCCATAGGGCATGTGTGCTTGCCAGACAGAGATGGTGAGAAAGTGAGACATAGCCCTCGGGGGGGGGTGGCCATGCCACAACCCCTTCCTTTCCTGGGATATTGGGGATGCACGCACATACCCAGTGTGCAAGCTGCCAAGTCTGGGACTCGAACAGAGATCGGTCATGTAGGAATCTAGCACCTTAACCTTCATGCCACCCGCTGGCCCCATGGGTGTGGCTTTGTGAGGACAGTGTGCCACCTCGCTCATCTGGGCAGTGTGCAGAGTGAGCTGTGGCCCACATCAGCTGCCCGAGGGGACGATGAGCTCACGGTGAGCCAGCCAGCTATGCTGTCCTGGCCACGCGAACCAGGCAGGATCTGATGACGGACTATCCTGGGGCCGCGGGAGGCCGAATGACCTAGATGTCACCTCGGGTAGGGGCCCCTTTGGTCCAAACGCAGAGCTACAAAGGAGCCGGGGGGCAGCCTGGCCCTACCTGCCTCACCGCTACCTGCTCTCAGCAGCCCCCTGCCTGCTCGTCCCCTCTCGGACCCAGCCTTCAGAAGCACCAGCTTCTCCTTCACTCCTGTCTGAAATGCCCGGCCTGCTGGCCCGTGCAGGCGCTTCCTCCCAGGACAGTCCCGCTGCTCAGAGCTTAGGGTTGCATTCTGCCTTCAGAGTATCCCACTCTGTCCCCACAGAGGTAGCTGCTGCTTCTCTGTCTACCAGACAGCCCTGATCTGCTGCCAGGACATCTGAGCCATTCCGGATGTTCAGGGACCCAGGGTGAATTGGTCCCCTGATAGCCTGTTCTGTGGGCTAGATGAAGCCTTGGGACAGATGGTGGAGGAGGAAGTGGAAGGCCAGGGGTTGCTGTGATCCTGCGCCTGGAGCAGAATGCGGCCTGACCTGCAGGACACAAGCCACTGGCCAGTTGGTGCCCTGTCCTCTGCATTGTCTTGGGGCCCTCTGGGACATGGCTCTGGGAGGGTCCTGATGAGAGACCCTGGGCACATGGTCTGGAACACACGGGTGCCTGGTTAAGGGGAAGTCTCCCTGGTTGCTGTTGCCCTCCTCCCCCAGGGCCTGCGGCTCGCCCACTAGATTAAGTTCCTCTCTTCAGTCAACAAGCGCTTGCTGTCTCTGCCATGGGCCAAGAGCCATGGTTCTAGAGCAGCGTTGAGCCTTTCCTCCGGGCTCTGGGGTGTAGGGTAGAGGGGGCGGAGTGAGCAGATGGGGCAGGGCCTCTACCACGTGGCACACAGGTGATTTGTGGGCCTCCCTGGCAGATGCGGATGAGTTAAGCATGTGAGGTAGTAGAGGCCAGGAAGTCTGGGGGGTGGTGACATCTTCAGAAGAGGCGGAGCTTACAAGACCTAACGTTGGTGTTCCGGGCTCCTAAGGGAGGCGAGGCCCTCCCAGCAGAAGGAATAGCATCTGCAGAGGCCAGAAGGGGAACGGCTCTGGGCAGAGGCGAGCCAGCTGGGTGTGGGAGGGGTGGTAGCGGACCTTCATTCACTGTTACTGGCCTTCTCTCAGCAATGTGAGCCGCCTGGGCTCATTCCTGTCTCAGGGCCTTGCACGAGCTGCTTGCCGGCCGGGAACCCTCCTTCCAGCTCCCTCATCGTGGCTGCCTCCGTCTCCCTCTCAGGTCTCAGCCCCGAGCGTGCTCCTCTGGAGGCCTGTGCTGACAGCTCACCCGGAGTTGGCCAGTCCCACTATCTTCCTTGCGATGCCCCGTTGGCCCCTTCGCCGTGCTGCCACTCCAGCCGTCCTGCTGGTGTCTGCTTTGTGGTCCTCCGTGGAAATCCACTCCAGGAGGGCCAGGCCCCACCTGCCCATGACGGCTGACCTCCCGTGTCTCATGCAGGCTAGGTCCTCTGTGCAGGAAAGAACTGGCCCTCCGCTTCCAGGAGCTTCGCTCTGTCCTGCCTCCCAGGATGGGGTTGATCACTTGGCCAAGCCAGGAAGACCAATCCAGTGACCCAGGGTGGCACTTCAGACCATGTGGTTCCAGACCCTGGCAACCTCACGGACTGTGAATCAGTCAACCAATCAAGGCCGCACTACAGAGCCCGAGAAAATCTCAGGACACCGAGGTCGCCAGGCTGGCGGAGCTCCACAGGCGCCGTCACACGGTACAGGAGGCAGCGTGTCTTGATTACACGGGGAGAGGACGGTGGGAGCTCGGTGTGCGGGACCCTCCTGGACTCTGCCCATGTGTCCCTTCCCTCCGCTGCTCTCACTCTGTACCCTTCCCTGAAATGACTGTAACCGGGCACACCCCGTTCCAGCGAGGTCCGAGTCCTTCCAGGCAATTGTCTATTGGATGGTAGGAGGGAGGGACCTCTCAAACTTGCAGTTGGTGACCTGGGTAAGGGTGATCTTGAGGACCATGTGGGGCCCCTCTAACGTTGCAGCTGTCCCCCTCTCATGGCCATCGTTGCTCACTGAGTGAATGAAGAGGGCAGCAGGGTCAGGCCACAGAATTATTCTGAGCCCCTTGTCTTACTTGGCATTCTGATGGAGGAACCTAATCTACCTATCCACTCGTGACCACCTCCTAGGTGAGCCCCCCGTCCCTCACAGCCTGAGGGAACTGGCCAAGCAGCTGCAGAAGTTGGTTGGTGTCCTCTTAACTGTACAGAGATTATGCATGAGCAATCTAGTAAATTCCACCAACCTTGTTTTTGTCTTCAGTTCTGGCTGCTTGTCGGCATGCTGGGTGCCAGATGGAGGAGCCTGTGGACAGATCCCCAAGAAGGCAGTGGTTAGAGTTCTTTCCCATGATGCAGGGGCGTATGTGGAAAGTCAGCAGAGGGAGCCAGAGGTCCAGGCATGGGTGCTCACTTGTCCGCCAGCCTCCAGGCTGCCCCTGAGCATCCTCCTGTGCCAGAGCTGGCACTGGGCAGGGACCACAGGTCAGCCTTACCTCCAGGCAGCTCACAGCCCAGTGGTGTGGCAGGGGCAGGGGCAGGGACAGGAAATGAACCCGAGAATGCACTGCCAGGCACTCATTGCTCCCATAGGAGGCAGCATGGGGTCCTACGGAGCTGGTGGGGGGACCGTGCACAGCCTAGGGCAGTCAGAGGATGGGGTATTTGGAGCCAGAGGAGTGGCTCTTGGGCAGTCATCCAGCTTGGTGGGCTTCACTGCTGGCAGGTGGAGGGCACCAGTCAGGTCCAACCATGGGGACATCCAGGGATGAAGCTAGTGTGGGAACTAACCTTACATAAGGCTCTCAGCTCAGAGGTGAGAAGAGACCCTCAGGTCTCTTCAGGGAGGAACTGGCTCCATTTCTGAAGGTGCGGGGTGAAGTAGGATGTGTGTGTGAGCTGGACACGCAGCTTAAGTCTGGGCCCAATCTCCCACTAACTCGCACAGTCTCTGAGGCTCCCTATGGCTCAGTTTCTCCACCTACGAGCTCTGCCTGGCCATTCATGACAATAGCCACTACCACCAACATAACAAGGTCACAAGGCACCAAGTGCTCCAGGTCCCGGGCACTCCGCTCTTTTCTAAATCAACCTCAACCTGCCCCAAGTCTGTTTTGTCCCACCTGAAAAACAGGCTAGTAGTAATCTCACCTCACCAGGCCACTGGGTGAATTTAGGAAAGTGGAGGTGAGTGCGTACTGGAGAAGTGCGCTGTGAAATGCTGCAGACAGACGTTGGGCGTACTGTCAGCTCTCCCGGCCTACCTCCCCTGTGCTCTGGGACCCAGAGGACTTGGTTCTCTTCTCCAGGTCTCCCTGACCCTGAGGCTGACCCGTGGCCCCCTCAGATCAGCAAGTCCTCTGTCACATGCCCTCTGCTCCCACGTGCTCTCTGTTGAGGTTTATGCTCGTTCTTTTTTATTATTTTTATTTTTATTTTTTGGAGAGGTTTTTCTCAATAGGGCGTGTGCGCTCGCCAGACAGACAGAGAGAGACATAGAGACAGAAAGCGAGAAATCATCCCCCAGGGAGGATGGTCGCGCCGCAATCTCTTCTCCTCCATTCTCCTCTCGGGATCTTGGACACGTACGCACACGCGCCCGGCATGAGTTTTAAGCCACCGGGTCCAGGATATGAACCGTGGTCAACTACGTGAGAGTCCAGTGACATAGCCATTATGCTAACTGCTAGTTCCCATATGCTCATTCTGGTCCATAAGTCCCATGATGACACGTGCTTCATGTGACCCATTTGTGCGGCCCTCCAACACACCACAGGGGACCTGGCACATAGTAGGAGCTTAACAAGTGTGTGTGGGAACCAGCTGTGATGGTGTGTGCTGGTAAACCTTGTTATTTGGCAGGCTAAGGTCACATGTGAGGCCCGGCCCACCCTATGAAGCTGGCGTGGTGTCATACACCGGCAGTCCCAGATCCTCAGGAGGCTGAGGCAGGAGGATGTCAAGGTCATGGCCAGTGTGGGCAACACAGCAAGACTGTCTGAAAGAGCCGGCCATGGTGGTGCAGGTCTGTAGTCTCAGCTCCTTGGGAGGCTGAGGTGTGAGGATTACAACATAGCAAGACCTTATCTTTAAAAGAAAAAGATAAGGGGGCCAGCAAGTGGCCTGGTGGTTAAGGGCGCTAGACTCCCACATGACCAACCACGGTTCAAGTCTCGAACCTGGTGGCTTGTTTTCTCACTTCCTCTCTGTCTCTCTCTGATCAAACTGGAAAATAACAATGACAATAATAAATAAAGTTAAATAAAATAATTCCTTAAAAAAATAAAAGAAAAAGATAAAAAGCCTTCCCAGGTCATTTTGATTAATTTCTAGGAAGGGAATTTATTATTTCTCCTCCCTGGGAGCACGTCTGCACCAACGCAGAGCTCTATGGAGTCACAATTTGAGCATGTATGCACATGGTAAGGCTATATGTAAGCATTTATTGAATTCGTTATTTTTTATGATGATAAAGATAATAGATATCCCTTACCAAGAATTATAGAAACCAAACAAAATATTAAAAAAGGAAATTTAAATAATCTATAATCTTTTTGAAAGAATTATTGATCTAACTTTATTATTATTATTATTATTATTATTCATTTTGGCCCAGGTGGGAGAGTGAAAAAGCATACTGCCAGGTCTGAGACTCAAGCCGCAGATGGCCATGTGGGAGTCCAGCACTTTAACCTCCACACCACCTGTTGGCCCTGTGGTCTTTTATAATCTCTATAATCTCTCATCAACTCTTTGTTGGACTTCCTCCCAGGATATGAAGGGATTTCAAAAAGTTCATGGAAAAAACGGAATTAAAGTTTATTTTGATGCAGTAAATTGAAATTCATACATAATTGTTCCATAATATGTGTTTTCTGCAAACATTTTGAAAACCGCTTGTACATGTGTGTTTGAAATGGAAAGGGGTTCACGGGAACATATCCTGCAACTTCTGCTTAAAATTATTTTAAACATTTTCCTTTAGAATTAAATACTGCCACCCCCTAAAAAATAATAACTTTGGCCCAGCTGCCGTGGCACAGCGGTAACAGTGCTCTGAAAGGCTGGCAGTCATATGCCCGCTGTGGGTTTGGATGCGTGGGTCCGCCAGATAACACACTGGGCACACGTGTGGGCACCCGGGATCTGGAGGCGCCAGACGGCTGGGAAAGGAAATCAGGGTGTGGTGAGACCCTACTAGGTGCCTCTCCCAACCAGGGGTGCACACATACACTCGCCTTTTAAAAAACGTCGCGTGAAAGGCTGCAGACACCGCCCTGCAAGGGGAGGTGAGGATTTACCTGCCCACGCCCCCTGCTCACTCCAGTGCCTTATCTGTTTCTAAATACCATCGCAGCGGCTCCTTTGCACACGAGCTGCCACATACTTCCTGGAAATGGAATCTTGCCTCAAAGGGTCTAAGGCACCCAAGACTTTTTGGCAATTTCCCAGTTTTCATCTCCACCAGGGGGTAAGAGGCCCCTTTCCGTGCGTTCGCACCAACATGGCGATTCCGTCTTTCTTTCACTCTTTGTTAACCCACGGGGGGAAAAGTGTTAACTGATATGTTAATCTGGACTCCCTGATAATTAGTGAGTACCCATATTCCGACGCCCATGCTTATTGGAAAGAGTCTACGATGGGAACGCCATGGCCTTAGGCTGGGAGTGGGCCGCTCCATCACCCCTGGAGACCATGGGGTCACCAAGACTCAGGCTTCCCAGAGTTCTTCTTCAAGCGGGATCCTCCCGTCTAATAACACCTTCGTGGAGCCCCGACCTCCAGGTAGAAAAGCAAGAGGGTCTCATGACGACCTGGCAGGGGGGACTCCAAAGCGGCCCCCGTCTCAGAACCCTGGTGCTCTATGGCATGCAGCCAGAAAGCCGCCAACCCAGTCTGTCCTCTCATCATGCGGATGGGAACTCCAAGGCCAGGGAGCGGACAGGACGGGCCTCAGCAGTCCTCCTTTAGAGCGTCAGCTTCAGAACAGGGTCCTGAAGAGCTTCTTTGTTCCCTGAGACCAGGCACTCTTGATGCCAGCTCGCATCCCGAGCTGCTGTCCCAGTGCCACTATGTTGGTAACAACGAGGTGCCATTGTCTGAGAGCGCTGTTCACTGGGTCTGAGCCCCAGGCAGAGGGAATCTCCCTTCTCAGACCGCCCAGCACTGCCAGGATGGGCCCAAAGGACCCCTTTCAAGGGCACTCGAGCAGAGACACAAGGAACAACAGGCGACACTGGGGACGAAGCCGTCCCATCTGATGTCACCCCACCAGGTTCAGTCTCAGAAAGGGAAGTCTGTCTGACACACAGCTCTGAGACGATGGCTGCATGAGGTCGTTGAATGGCCCGTCTGTGGGACAGCACACGTGGCTGACGCATCTGTCACAGCTCTGTACCCACTTGGCCCTCCGCAGCCTCCAGGGTCCCTGAAGACAGAGATCCTCAGAAAGAAACTGTGGCTAAAGAGATGAGGTCTCTCTCCCTGACCCACGCTCACCGGGGCCCTCTGCATAGCCAACCCATCATCTGTCCTGTGGACTCCCCTTGGCTCTCACCCCATGGCCTGCTGGCCCCTTAGTCAGGCTCCCTCTTCTCGACTAGGCCTCGGCTTTGCCCGTGCCTCACCCAAGGTCCCCCATGCGGCCTTCGTCCTAACAACGCCTCAGCAGAATCTGCTAATTCAGACCCTTGACAGCTATCACCCTCACGGCCGAGCAAGCCCCTCACGTCACTCTTATGTTTACCTCCTTGGCCTCCTTCAGCAAGAAGCCTGTCAGGTGAGTCCCACAGGAGTCCTTTCCCATCCTACCCCCTCCCCTGGCCGGCTACAATGCCCACTGTCTTCACTCTGCTCTGAATCCCCCACTCTCCCCACTGTGACACTCTGATGCCTGCTGTAACTGTCCAGAGCCTCCGCCATCGTTTTACAAGCGTCAGGTAACCTCTCACTGCGCTCAGGGCTGGATGAGCAGCAGGAGGGACACGTGTCAGAACAATGAAAGAGTCATCTAAGTGTCACCAAAGGAGCACGATGGGGTTCAGAACACACCACCCCAAATATGAGGAGACCAGAATAAGCCACCCTCAATCTGCCTACTTGGCAGAGGGTTATTCCAGAGGATTATCTGGGGGAACAGCCGAAGAGCTCAGAAAACAGAGCAGGAGTGGCCCTTCTGAAGGGGGCTTTACCTCTGTGAGGGTCTCTCCGAGTCAGGCATCTCCCTCTCCCATCTCTGCCGGTTTAAGGCACTTTCCTCCACAGACCCCGCCTTCCCCACACTCTGCGTTCTATGTTCGGAGAATTTTGTTTCAGGATGCTTTGGCCTGAAATCACAGTCATGTCCTTGAGGTCTGCTCTGACCTTCACCCCTTTCTCTGGGACATTCCCCCCGGGTCTGCAGGAGGTATACGTGCCAATGAACTTCTGTTTTTTCCTTCTTTTCTTAAGCTGCCTTTTGTTCCAGGGGTCTGTCCTAAGTAAGGACTGTGATCTACAAGAACCACTGTCTCCCTCTTCCCCTCCCAACTGAATACACGTGCTGTCATGAAAGAGCTGGGAGCCGAGCGCTGTGATCAGAATGCTGGCTTCCAACGAGCGTCAGTACGCTGCAAAGGGCTCACCGAGAAGAAGGAAAGGGACAATTCGGGGAACCAGCAGTTAGCGTAATGGCTATGTCGCTGGACTCCCACGTAGTCGACCGCGGTTTGCGTCCCAGACCCGGTGGCTTAAAACTCACACTGGGCGCGTGTGCGTGCGTGCCCGAGATCCCAAGAGGAGAATGGAGGAGAAGGGATTGCGGCGTGACCATCCCCCCTGGGGGGTGATTTCTCACTTTCTGTCTCTATGTCTCTCTCTGTCTGTCTGGTGAGCGCACACGCCCTATTGTGACAAAAACCTCTCCGAAAAAAAAAAGAAACAATTCGTAGATGAGTCTTTCTATTCCTTCAGAGCTGGTGGACTCTGGACACCTGTCCTTTGTGATCAAGAAGGTTGTCATTCATAGTGCGTGGGTTTGGGGACTTCCCATGAAGCGCATCAGAAGGTTGGCTGTGTCCTCCTTAACTTTCCTTCTGTCAGTACTCTGTGATTCACTTACTTCCGTGACCTGGAAAGAAGGCCCCAGCTAGCTGCCAGTGTTCATACCTCTGACCAACCTCCTTGTTGATGAAGAGGGGTGCAGCAGGCTTGTGGGGTGGCAGAGACAGGAAACATCTGACACTTAACTGGGATCCCAGGGCTGGGTAACTTTCTAGAAAAGGCCTAAAGCAATATGACGAACAGACTGTATTCGTTTACGTTTCCTCACTGGGACCAGAGAGGTAAAACTCCGGGGTCCGGATCTTTCCCTCGGCCCTTTTCTTATCTCACTGACCTCATGCAGGTGCAGGGGCAGCTGAGGAAGCTGGCCTGGGGTGCGCTCTGGCTGGGACCCTCGGGTTCCCACTGTATTCCCCAGTTTGTGCCCAGCAGGTGGTATGGACGCAACAGGTGGGAGCTTCTTGGCCCAGGGGCCTAAACAACACACTTGCATGTTTACCTTGAAGGTACATCTCCTCGCCTTCTGCAAACATCTGGCCACATCTGACACATAGCGCACACGACGGGTGGTAGTGCTTCTCCCCCGCCTGAAAGAGAGCACAAAGCAGGGGTGTAGGAGGTGCCCCCAAACGTGGCATCCTGGCGTTTGAGGAAACAGCTATGGCAGGAGACCACCCTCCTCATCCCCTTGCCCTTCCTCCTTGACACGGCCATATTTCCAGGAAGGCCACTCTCTGACCTTGTTCCCTGGAGACCCTCCTGTGACAGGCATCCTGCCCCACAGCTGAGGGAAGGGACATCGCCCGGGGACGGGGAGGGCTGCAGCCTTGCTGAGGTCCTCCCGGTTCACGACCCTTGGGTCCTCCCCTCTGCCCAATCACGTGTCTACACAGGCAGCGTAAGCCTGCACCACTCTCCCTCTCCTTCGTGTCTTCATTTCTGCAGGCTCGCGTCACGTTCAATGTGTATTCAACGGGTGAGCTTTTCTCTTGCTAACCTGTCTTTGTTTCAGGGTCTCAGCCGCGAGCCTTGTGGTTGTGGGACAGACATTACCTTTTCTCCACTACACTACGGAAGGCCAGCCTGTGGGCGCACACGCTCCCACGCCAGGTCCTCAGGGATGCTGGAAGACATGCTGCATGCCAGAGGCCCAGTAACCATCAGGACCCACCAAATACCCCTGCATGGAGCCCAGACCCACGGGTACCCAGTGGTCCAGGGAGCCGAGCTGCCCGATCTCCGGGGGAACCCGTGCCCAGCTCCCTTCTGGGCTTAGTCTCGACAGGTCTCCCTCCCCTGCGAGTCAGCACTGAGGAGGTGCTCTAGTACAGTACGAGATGCTCCCTTGTACAGCTCAGGGAGGGTGGTGGGCAGGAGGAGGAAGAAAAGGGGGAGGAGGGAGTCAGGAAGAGCAGGGGAGGGAAGGGAGAGTGACATCCTTCCAGGTGGAGGGACTGAATAAAGGGCGGGGATGACAAGTGGTTAATGATTTTCTTCCCCTAGCTCTGCATTGTTCACCTTGCTCGATTAGCATTTTCCATTTCCATCATTCTTTAGATGTATAAATTAGATTGCAAATACTAACAGCAGCATAACCTAAGCAGATGACATTGATTGGTCAGGCTTATTTTTGGATGGTACCAAAAAACAAAACAAAACAAAACAAAACCCCAGACTTGCCCCCAGTACTGTCTTCAACATCACAGTGACTATTTCCTAACCTCGGGAAGGTGGGGCTGAAGCCTGATGCTAAATGTGGGTGCTGAATCTCCATTTCATTCTTGCCTAAAATGGGAAGCAGTTTCATAATCGCTGAATTTGAATTGTCATCATCGCTTTCCCAAATAAGTAAGAAATGGGGCAAAACCTCATTACCAGCACTGCACCTTCCCTTGCCCACTGGCATGGCGTCGATGGTGACAACGGGCCCACGGAGGCCCCTGTGTCGGGGAAGGAAGCGTCCAGGACACCTCCTCTCCTGCAGGGCCCAGTTGCTGCCTCCTGTCATAAACCTCCAGGCCAGTCGACATGACCCACTCATACCTTTAGGCAAAGAGATTCTTCCTCCTTTTTAAGATTTTTTGCCTTAGAGCACTCGAACTAGCTGGAGAGAGGGAGAGACAGAGACAGTGAGGGGGAAAGGGAGAAATCAACCCCTGAAGGGATAGCCACGCCACAATCCCTTCTCCTTCATTCTCCTCCTGGGATCTTGGGCACGCACGCACATGCGCCTGTGTGATTTTCAAGCCACCAGGTCCAGGTCTCGAACCACAGTTGGCCATGTGGGAGTCCAGTGATGTAATCTCTATGCCATCTGCAGACCCCAGGCAAACGATTATTTCTGAGGCGAATGAGGACATGAATTCTCTGTCCCTGAGCCTTTGTTTAAGCTGTGCCTTCTTCCCAGAGTGCCCCTCCTACCCGGTTACCTGGATCAACTAGTCCCAAATGTCACCTCTTCCTGGAAGCCTTCCCTGAGTGCTTTCCTGCTCTGGGTTCTCATAGCCCCGCTTTCAGTGTTTACAAGTTTTACTCATTTATTTTGGCATAGGGCATGTACACTCACTGGAGGAAGAGAGAGAAAGAGTGAGAAATGACCCCCGAGGAGAGACGGCCAAGCCACAATCCCTTCTACTCCATTCTCCTCTCGGGATTTTTGGGCACGCACACACACATGCTTAATGCGTGTTTCACTTGCCGGGTGTGGGGCTTGAACAGTGCGGCAGGCCATGTGGGATCTAGCCGCCTTCACCACCACACCATGTGCTGATTGGGCTCATTCTTCCTCACTAGCCAGTGAGCACCTCAGTGAGTGCTGACAGCTGGTCACATCGGGGCTGCGCTGCAGGGTCTCTCTACGAGACGCCATCTCCCATTCCCCATGGACACGCCAAGGTCAGAGTAGCCTCTCCTCTGAGGGGAGGTCAGAGACACAGTCTCGGCTGTCAGCTGGTGACTCGCTGCATTTCAAATGAGCCGGGTGGGTATTCCAGTGTGTGGCTCTGACCTGTCGTGGTGCCCCACTTCTCATCCAGGGGTAAAAACTCGCCCCCACCCCGCGACTGCTCGCAGCAGAAGGTCCTGACAGCTACACGGGGCAGAAGCGCCCCTCTGGACGTCTACACAGTGTCTCCGTGCTGCACATCCACACAGGCCTCAGGAGAGGGAGACCCGCTGGGACGGCTCTAGGACAGGCTTGGATTCCCCACTGCAGGAGCCGCGGCTGGCCGTCCCTGTCGCAGTGCCGAGAAACACCCTGCAGCATTGTTGGAGTCGTGCGGCAGCCCTGTGAGGTATACTCAGCTACCCTCGTTTTCCACGAGAGGCACGGCGAGGTAGAATTCCGAGAGCACTGTCACAAAGCAAGCCGGCGGAGGCCGGAACTGGAGCCCATGCCCTGTGGGTTCTCAGCTCCCGACCTGGCACCCTCCAGGCTGTGCTCCCCATCCTCGTCTGCTCCCTCACTTCTGTCCCTGGACAAGCAGCCAGGAGGATGCCGACAGGCCCAATGTGGGCCAGACACAGTGAGCACAGCTCTTGTTTTTACAAACAAAGCTCAGAGCCAGTCAAAACTAATTTACATCATTAGAGTCGGGAGTGTCTTTAGGAGGACACCAGGGAAACACAGTGGGGTCTGCAGGGGGCCTCAGCGGCTCCAGGGCAGATGTGCAGAGAGGCTGCAGAAGGATAGACGGGGTAGGGGCTCTGTGCCCCTGCAACCCCTCCTAGAGATGCCTCCTCCTCACTGGCCTTCCTCTGCGCTGGGCCTCGCCCACCTCAGGCAGCATCTCCCTTTTCTTCCCTAAATCCAGGCACAGGATCCGGATCAATTGACCTCTTCTACTCACTGGAGACCCAGCCAGCCCCTCCTGCCTGCTGAGTCCTGGGCCGGGCCGGCCAGGCTGCAGCCCTGAGCCCAGGATGGCTAGCTCCTGGGGGCTGCTCACACCAGTCACAGCCTCTCACAGCTTCCGTTTCCTCTCTGAATTTCCAGAACGGAATCCAGGTCTTACGAGCCCCAATCACCGTAGTGCTCAGAGAACAGGAAAGATCCTGGGAAGCCCATCCAAACCTTGAGCGGGGCCACGCTGCCCCGGGGCAGCCTCAGCACCCGGCTCATTCAGGGCGAAGGCTTCAGGAGAGCTGGGTGGTGTCCACCCCGCTCTGCCCTCACTGCAGCCGCAGAGCGGTGCTGCTCACAGCAGGGGCCCACAGGGGGCACGACGCCCACCATCCATGAACCCTCCCCAGGGAATCAAGCAGCCTGGAGGGTGCTGACAGGCCGAAAGTGAGCCAGGCACAAAAAAGCATGGATCTCATTTTTAAAAACAAAGCTTAAAATTAAGCACAACTCATCTACACTGTTGGAGTCAGGGGAGGGTCTTTAGGACACCAGGGAAACAGAAGGGTTCCAACTGAACCAGTTTGGGAACTGCTAGACAACTGGCTCCCCCTGGAGAGTCCCGTGCCCATCAGCCTCTCGAGGGTCCACATAAGGGCAGCCGTTGCCCTGAGCAACACGGGACAGCAAGGTCTTATGAGGACAAGCCACACACGCCAGCATCACAGGTGACAGGAGGGTCTTCGCGGGTAAGAGCTGGCGGTTCTGCTGTGGCTGGGTCATGACGAGTGGGCAGAGCGTGGCGAGCTGAGGACAGGCAGTGTGGTGTGCGTCTGCATCCGTGTGTGCCCGCCTGTGTCTGCCCGTACACGTTACATGCGTGAGCGTGTGTGTATGTGTACGCGCGAAATCTGGAAACTGACTTCTCAAGGCTGACGACAGCTAGTCTGGGTGGTGGCATGAATTATGAAAGACTTTTTGTCTGTTAACTTTATGATAAAGCTATTCCTTCTGCACATGTTTTTAAAATGAACATACTTATTTTAAAGAGACAGAAAGTTGGGAGCTTGAGAAGTCAACTTCCCCCTCTGTACTCAGAAAATACTTTGATCTGCTTGGAAACGTACGGGTTATTTTCTCCCAGTGATAAAAGCCATCTCTGCTTCTAAGAGTCAAATGGAAAGTGCCAGAAAGAAGACAAGAGGAAGAAAACAGACACCCCGTAGTCACACGAGATGGTTCATTTGAAATAAAGAAACGCTTCCCTGGCCACCTGCCTGGGGCAGTCCTCTCTCCTGTGGGGATTTCTCTGCAACACCACAAGCTCCTCGAGGACAGGGGCCGCTGACACTGTCATTTCTGTGACCCCAGACCCAGCCCAGGCAGGACACGCAGTGAGTGCCGGGAGGACCCATCAGGTGAGTGGCTGGAGGGAGAGAGGAAGGAAGGGAGGAGTAAAGGAGGAGGGAAGTAATTAGCAGTCCCAGAGGGATGCTGGGCTTCTTGTTGCCATGGAGACAGCCACTGGTGCACTCGCTGCACCAGGCAAGTGGGTCCAGAGAGCGGCATTGCCAGGGGTAATGGAGGGCAGGTTGAAAAAGAAGCACCCGCAGCCCGCCCAACTCACTCACTGCCACCTTTGCAGGGAGGCATTCCAGCCCGCGCTGGTGAGAATGACATGGAGAACAGGGTAGGGATGGGGTTCCTGGAAGGACTCGCACCTCATTCAACACCTCTACCCCTTTA